TCCGTACACGCTACGAACCATTGCGTCCTGAGGTAAGCCAATGTTATTATGTGGGTTTCTGCCGTGCCGAACACAAGCCAACTTAAAAACCTTCGAAATAAAACAAAACACACTGACACAGATGGATATATTTAATAGAGCTCAGCAGAGGTCTGAGTGTACTTTCGTGACCAACGTGACATACAGCTACACGAAGAAAAATCGAACAAATTGGCGTTATGAAACTGACGGCAACCACAGACAATAATGATACATATTGTCTGTACGGTGTGGGATTGTGTTGTTAGGTCGTTATATGTAGTTTCTCACGAGTTTCTGCTTGCCAGCATTGTATTATCCTTAAACAGTTACTTGGTTAGTTTTATAAAACGGATGGTTGTTGATTGTATCAGATGAGGGAGGGGTGTAACAGTACATGTGTCTCTCTAGGCGTGACCCTTTAGACCAACGCCAGAAAGATCAAGCCATGTATCACGGTTCAGTATTGCATCTATCTTCAATTGAATTGAACGAACTCCACGTCCGTTCCACTGAATGAGTCTAAACTTAAGCCCAACTCAGCACATTTTAATTAAGCCCTACAAAATGGCAGTACTCTCGCAGTGCATGCCCAATTACACAGTGATGACATCATAGTTCCAATCGCGCCTTTCTATGCAATAAGCTTTATTGTTTTTAAATGGAGGAAGTAGGTTATTGCAGTACCACAAATTACTGTTATCCTCGATCAGTTATTTACGTACAGGCGGTGCATTTGGCACAGTGGCAAATTGACCGTCTCAGATTGGTATATTCAATAATTTGTTGTTTTAGAACAACAGTAAGCACAGTAACTATTTTGCAGCAAAATAATGGGCACAAATATTTAAAAGGAATCTGTGCGTGGAGTTTGACATTTAACACGAGCGTTTCACCAGTTCCAAAAGTATTACTGCATCGTCTAGCACGGTGTCGGGCACACATTCATCCACTGTCAGGGTTGTATTCATGTCGCTTAGTGGGCATTGCAAACGGGCCAATTATAAGAAGAATAATATTAACATCCTGAATCAAGATATATACAATCGCGAGGGAAAGGATTTGTGGTTGCCATAGAAACTGATATCAAGAATTAATTGCAAAACATTTTGCATAAGTTTCTTCTTCAGACGACGTTTTTATATAGATAACCGGATTATTTTGCTTTCACTATATCATCTTGACGTGCGTTGCTGACATATTTATTATAATGTGAATACCTTGTGTCAAATCGAAGGAAGCTGCTGCGTCGACATGATAGCAATATACATTCAGTTGCCTATATTTTGTTCCAACAGAATTAAGTAAAGTCGATTGCGACATTACCCGCGGATGTAACGAACCAAGACGATTGCAGCAAACCCCCTGAAGTGAATAATCATGTCTCTAGCTCTAATCACGTTGTCCTTACTAGGCCTTGCTGTGCTGAGAATCGGTAAGTAGCCGTATATATACACACACACACACACACATACACACACACACACACACACACACACACACACACACACACACACACACACACATACACACACACACACACACATACACACACACACACACACATACACACACACACACACACACACACACACACACACACACACACACACACACACACACACACACACACACACACACACACACACACACACACACACACACACACACACACACACACACATACCACACACACACACACATA